TTAATGCACCCCAGGATCCCGTTGGCCTTCTTGGCCACCAGGGCACACTGCTGCCTCATGGTCAACTTGTCATCCACCATGACACCCAGGTCCCTCTCTGCGGGGCTGCTCTCTAGTAGGTCCACCCCTWATCTGTACTGGTGTCCGGGGTTATTYCTCCCCAAGTGCAGGGCCCTGCACTTGCCCCTGTTGAACCTCATGAGRTTTCTCACCCAGTCCTCCAGTCTGTCCAGGTCCCTCTGGATGGCAGCACAGCCCTCAGGGCTATCAGCTGCTCCACCCAGTTTGGTATCATCAGCAGACTTGCTGAGGGAACACTCCAGCCCTTCATCCAGGTTGTTAATGAATAAGTTGGAACAGGACCGGACCGAGAACAGACCCCTGAGGTCACTCACACACACACACACACACACACACACACATATATGTGTGTGGCTGTGTTTCAAGCACCACTCTTCCCAAGGAGACATACAGGGGATATACGCACCTATGAGCAGTCCTGCCTCATGCGTGCTCAGGTGCTCATCATGGAGGCAGGCCTGCCTGCCCTCAGCGTGGACACCTCCCTGRTAACAAAAACACATTTTTTTTTTTCCCCTCYGCTGCTGCACAACAGGTTCAGCTGCACCAGCCCTGCCTTCACACCTTGCTGCATGAGCACTTGCCTCACCAAACGAGCCGCTGAGCTGGGGAGGAAAACAAGACCCATGGGAGTAAAGAAGACAGTAAGAGAGCCTCTCACCGCACAAAATGGCGGCGGGCGGGCGTCGCTCCCGCGACGACGCGCCGCCACCACCACACGAAATGGCGGCACGCGGCACGCGGGGCGGGTGGTTCGGTAACGCCGCGGCCCGGCCCGGCCCGGCTCGGAGCGGCCATGGTGCCCCGCGCCGATCCTCGGGCGGGGCGGCGCCTCCCGCCGCGGCGGCGCAGCAGCCCTCGGCCCCGCCCCGGGCGGCGGCCTCAGCCGGTGCCGGGCGGCATGGCGGGGCCCTGGGCTCTGCCGGCGCCGCTCAGCCCGGCGCAGCTCAAGCGGCTCGAGCAGCACCGCTACAGCGCGGCGGGGCGCTCGCTGCTCGAGCCCTCGCTGCAGCCCTACTGGGCCTGGCTGGTGGAGCAGCTCCCGCTCTGGCTCGCCCCCAACGCCATCACCCTGGGCGGCCTCCTGCTGAACTGCCTCGCCGCGCTGCCCCTCATCGCCTGCTGCCCCAGCGCCACCGAGCAGGTACCGGCGCGGCGCCACTGCGGCCGCCCCCTGCCCTGCCCTGCCCTGCCCTGCCTCCCCTGCCCTCCCCCGGCGCCGCCGCGGCCGTTGCGGGAAGGCGGCGGTTGGCGCCCGCCCGCCGGGCGTTGGGGCCGTTGCCGCCGCTGCTGCCTCTGCCCGCGGAGCAGAGGGACGACGTTGTGTCCGTGGCGGAGCGGCGGGGGCCGCTGGCGGCGCCGCGGGCCGCCGGCGTTGCCCTTTGCCTGCCCCAGGTGCGGGCTTGGCGGGGCCCAGAAGAAGCCGAAGCCGCAGGAACAGCCCCGGACGCTTTCTGCGGTGCGGGGCGTGGTTAAGGCGCCCTGTGACCACCCATCGGCACCACCACCGCCTCCCAGGGCTCCCCCTCCCGGCCGCCAGCTCCTTCATCCCGTGGGATCTGCTTGCGGTGGGACCTCCCGCAGCGTGATGGATGGCTGGGACCCGGTGACAGCCCCGTCACCGTTCAGAGACGGTTTTCCTTTTGATTACTGTTACTACATAACTTTGTCCTGGAGCACATTCCTGTTGGAAGAAGTGCCCCTTGTTGTCCCTGCGGCAGCTTTACCCTTCACGTTAGCAGAGAGGCGTTTGTGGCGGTAGCCACATCAAGGAGCAGGTCCAGGCCAGACGTGTCTTTGCCTGGACCTGATGTGGCCCCTTCCTCACTGCAGGCCTTGGGAGGAGCAAGATGCTTCCCACCCAGTGGCCCTTGTGCGGTTAAAGTGCTCACAGACCTGCGGTATCCATCCCATTTACCCTTATGGTGCCTTTGTGTCCAGATGTACATTTTAAAATGTTTTTTTCCCTCAAGAAAATAAGGCAGAAAGTCTTCTTTCAGCTGTTTTTTTATTTGTAGACCCTTATCCACAAAGAAATTGTACTGTTGACAATTCTTCCCTCTTCCACTTCTTTTGTGGAAGTTTATATTGAGCCTTAGAAACCTTGTTTGCTGTTTGTTTTTTAATTGCACAAGCTGAATTTGGTAACAACTACAGTCTGGGCCAGATTTCCCAGTTCAGGATGGCCACTGTAAATCAGTGTGTGTAAATCATCACTGTGTGATGCCTGATTTTTTCGTCCTGTTATTTTGCTCTTTCACTGTAGGTTGAACTTTCATTGCCCCGCTCCTGTGAGCCTAACTTTGGGTTTTTCTTGCCATATCGGCTAGGCCCTCATTCATCTCTCTTATTTAATAAATCATCCTGCCTTTCACTTAAGATGTCATGTGTCTGGATAGGTGTTTTTCAGATAGCCCAAGCTGCTGCCACACAGCTAGGTGCTGTGTGCTCTACTGCAATGTCCTTTTGTGTGCTTTTGGCTTGGAATATGTAGGCTGGAAGGGGTAGGAGAAAGGTGGAACTGGAAACAATGTTGACATTGATGAAACTGTGGACAGAACCAGTAGGGCAGCACATTTCAGAACTGCACCTCTCTAGCCTCATTAGTCCATACCACACCTCTCTATTCTGTTTATTAACAAGCTTTGATTATCAAATGCTGTGGACTAACCAAGACCTGCAGGCTTGGTGGAAGTGTGGGAGCACTGGGCAAAAGATTTAAATAAGGTAACAGGGAGGTATCTCTCTTTTAAAGATTTGGTTTGTGTAAATTGGCCTCTTTTAACAGTAGTGTATTGAAGAACACTTCCATCTTGATACTGGTACAAGCCATCCAAAACAAAGGTCTGGTAAGTGATGAAACATAAATCTTGCTAATACCAGTCATACTAGGTCAGACCTGAGAGCCACCCAGCTCAGGCTCCCTCTTGAGAGCAGCTGGTAGCAGATGCTTAGGAAAGAACATGAGTAGAGGGGTCTTTCCTTTGTATGTCCTCTCAGATGGCAGAAGACAGCAGTTTCCTGGGGCAGGGGTTTTCCTCGGGGGTTTTATTTGTTATAGCAAGAACTGGGGAAAGTTACCATTCATACGTGTTCCCCATTGTGATTTTTGCTTACTGGCCTTGGTTTGACGCTTGGTCCACTATGCCTTATGGCAGCAAATTTCACAGTTTAATGATGCTTTCTCTACTATGCAATGCAATTAACTCCTACCACTACCCAGTGTTCCCTTGCTCTCTTACTATGTAGTCATTATTTCTTTATGACCTGTTCTTTTTACTTTTTTCCCCCCACAATCAGTGTCCACTAAAAGCCAGTTTGTTGTTGATTAGCAGAGCATGTTTTAACTTCAATAAAATATTGTCTACTGTAGTAAAGTTTCCCTGTGTAGAAGGACCGTGGGTTGTGTCCCTGCCTTCCCTAAATGCACGTGTTGCCATAAGCTGCCTTATCTTGGCCTAAGCCCGGGCTGGCTGCACCCCTCATCGCTGCTGGCGCTGCAGGCTGCGCATGCAGGTTCTTATAGCGTGTCTGTGCCAGCTGGCTCGCCGGTTGTGTAACTCGTAAATCTACGGAAACAACATATGGGGACTGGTATGCCAAGTATGGTGATAGGATGGACATAACCCCCTGCAGAATACGAACAGTGCAGGTGACAGTGTCTACCTCACTGTGATTGCAGTAATGGTGGGATTGTATTTTTTCCTTTTTCAGTCCTTTTCTCACCAGTTAGAAATATTTAGGAATTTAATGTTTTGCTGACTTTTGAGTATATGCAGTGCACATGTGGTGCCTTAGATTAGGATTTTTCCTCACCATTCAATAGTGAGCTGTTTTGCTGAGGAAAAAATGATCCACCACCAAGTGACTTCCCCGAAGAAGTTACTTCCTTAGGGTGTGACACACAAGTCTCTTGGACCCTTCCTGTTCTGGGCAAACCTGATTTTTTTTTCCCCTCCCCTTTCTCTTGCATCAACATCAGGGATAAAACTGGCTAAATATAATTTTCTTTCCAGAGGAGGGAAATGAAGCTCTGATTGTGCTGCTTTTGTAGCTGCTAGTGGAGAAGTCAAGCTTCAGTAATCCTTAGAGCCTAGCCAAATGCTTTTATATAAAAATAACACCAGATGCTAGAATTTTAGGATAGAAATTTATGGTAACAGCAACTATGGCTTTGTTTTCATAGAGAAGCACATATATATGTATGTATTCAAAATATATACTCTTTGTATGTATGTATATGTATAAATATATAAAAGCCGTATAAAAGCTTATGGCAGTTATAATAGGCTCTATATTATAGGCTCTAAGCAATGTGGACTGTAAAACAGTCCAGGTAAGATTCATGCATGTCTTATTTGGAGAGCTTATGGCCTTTATTTCTGCTGTCTGTAATTGCTTGTTAATTAGATAGAGGTCATTAGGATTAGAAGAAGGCAGGAACAGAAAAGAGTAGATCACAGATTTGCAGTTTGCATGTGGCAAGAGAGCGAAGAAGCTGCAGAAAGCACCGCCATGGAGGGGAAGGAGGCCTGGGATGCCCTCCTGGGTACCTTTCTAGAGCTGCATTAAAACAAAGTTGAGGTGTGTTTATAGGAGGACACCAGCCCTTGCTGAAATGTGCTATCAAGAAAGTCATATATCTGAGGATACTAAAGAGGGAACATATGGGTCACTCCTGCCAGATCTATTATTAAGGGAAAGAAAGGTTTAGACTAAAAGTTTATGCTAAAGAGGGATTGTCTGAGATTTCTTCCGGTAAGAGAAATGAAAGGAGAGGCTGACAGGATGTTCTGTAAATGCCAAGTGTGCAGCTGTCCCTTGTGCCCGAGAGAATAAGGAAGCAGAGAAGAAGGTGAGATGTAGCAGTTGGTGTGAATTACGGTGTGGGGGTGTGAAGAAAAAAGCACTAAGATCCTGGCCTGGTAAAGGGGGAAACACTGAGTTGAGAGCAAAGTGGATCTGCACAGTACTCAGGAAACAAAGACTGGAGCACTCTGGTACGGAATGGGGAAAGGGAGCATTTGGCCTAAGGCAAGAGAGTGAAGGTTCAGGCAACCCTGGGGAAAATATCAATGGCTGTGTGGTTGGATTGAGGGAACTAGATCATAACTAAACCGAGAGGCCCAAATCTTTAATCGTGGCATAAGCGTCGGCTGTTGAATTCTCAGGACTTGGAATAAGTGATTTCATGAAGGTATCTCCTCTCTTGCAGCTGTGTGCTCTTCTGTGTAATGGCCTCACAAGAGCAGAAGGATAAGGGCCCCTGTTCAACTGGCACTTTCTCCAGAAGGAGAGGCATTCCACCTCTGCCTCAGCTGCCCAGGGAGGCTGTGGAATTTCCTTCTCTGGAGGTCTTCAAAACCCAGCTGGATGCTGCCCTGTGCCCCGTGCTCTGGGTGCCCCTGCTGGAGCAGGGGGTTGGACTAGATGATCTCTATGGGTTCCTTCCAACCTCAACCCTTCTGAGATTCTGTGCAATTTTGCCTGTCAGATGCCATCTGCAAGTTGCCTTGGCATCTCTTAAGTACAGATGCGACACCACTGAAACGACAGATGACCTGGCCTGTGTAAAACTTTCATTTGACAGGATCCTAGGGCTCTGCAATCTTTCATACATCATATTCAATTGAAACAGAGAAGACATCTCTTCTAGGATTTGTGCTCCCCTCTCATTCCATTAGAATAGCATCCAGCTCTGGCCAAGTAATATATTTGCTTGGACAGGATGTAACTTTGGGCAGAGGTAATAAACACCTCATCAGTGAAGAGTTGATGATTATCGGGAGCCTCCTGATGACTTTCTGCTGAGTCCATGAGCTGCGTCAGCATTCCCAAATGCTCCCACCTCTCCAGTTTGGGTCTGGCGTGGGAGGCTGAGAAAGGACATCCCTGATGGAGAGCCAGGCATGTGAGGAGGGGAAGGCAGCTGTAGTTGTTCTGAGCAGAGAGTATTAGGAGCTCTGGAAGCCCTTGTGCACCCTTGAGATTTGGAGAGCTCATTCCGATAAGAACAAGACTACTGAAGCTATTAAAATTGCAGTCGATAGCAAACTACCTTTGGCTATTGTAAGTTAGATTTGAACATTTTGGGGAGAAATGCTGCAGAGTCTGTTTCTAATCCCTCAGTTGGTCAGACACCTGTCCTGGTCTTCCACATCCATGGATCAACTTCCAATCCCTACATGTGCAGGGATACAGAGTTGTCCAATACGGTGTCAGCACGTACAGATAATAGGCACTGGGTGGAAGATGAAAACTGCCCGCTCTTGGCATGTTGTCAAGGAGCGGAGCTTTCTTGGTTGGGTGTCTGAGGGAACACTGCTGCTTTGACTTGATGCAGCAGGAACTACAGCCAACATCACTGAATCAGTGCAGTTAATGATAAAACTCGTAACTTGCAACCAGACAACGGCCGCTGTCAAAGGTCTTAAGATCTAACAGAGGTGTGATATTTTTGGTTTGCTTTTCACATTTAACACATCACACTTGCTTTGAGATAAAGTAAACTTAAGGAACATGTGCTGTGGCATTACGGAAAGTTCCATAAACGACCCGCTGAAACCACCCCATAAACCTTTGGTATTGATTGGAAGTGAGCCGTATTTCATGGGCGTTTCATTTGAAAAGATGGTGACAATACCGACTATACAGCACAGCAGTGAGGAGGAATTAGCAGCATTAGAGCTAATGATGAAAAAGTGACATAACAGGTTTCTGTTACTGGCTAGCGTTTCGGTTATGGAGATGATGCAGTCAGAAATAAGAGCCTGCCCACGCCCTGGCGTTTTGCTTAATCGGTGATGTGTGTGACACTGTGCGGGGGCCTGTGGAGAGGGTGAGGGAGGCTGCGAGYGTGTGGCTTCTGCCAGTGATACGCAGAACAGGGGACTCGGAAAAGCTCGCTCACATCTATCTCAGTTATAGGAAGATGATTGCATAAAGAGGGGATTTAGTGTTTGCCAGATGCCTTCCCTTAATTTTAGAAAATCTTTACATCTCTAAAGCTACTTTTTCATAATTTGTAGGTATGTCACAGTAACTCAGCCTTAGAAAACATTGTGAATTAACTTCGTGGCAATTCCAAGTGGCATGAGTGATAAAATAGGAAGTAGATCTAAAATTATTATAGCATTACGATGAAACTGTTGTTTTTTCTTGGTTTTCTGCTTGTAAGGCTCAATTCGTAAATCTGTCAGGAGCAAGTTTGGCTGAGAGTAACAGATAGTGTCAATATAACAAAACTATTATGAAAATCCCACTGTAACGACTGTGGATTATGTCGCAAGTGAAGTGATTGATCTTGGCTTCAACATGTCCTGATTGTTATTCTGTGCCCTGATCTGTCTGTCTTACGGCTGTCAGTCGTGTATTCTGGCAATGTCAAGAGCAAGGCTGGTGGCTGACAGGTAGTGGTGACCTCCATGCAGCACCATCTTCCAGCTTGTAGCTCTATGGTTCACAAAGTAAGGGTGGCAATAGGCACCTGCTGGTGTTGATAGGTTCTGCCTTGTCCCCTTTCATTGGAGGAGAGAAAAATTTTCTAAATGAAGATTAAGAACTTATTCCCACTTTCCTGTTTCCTCCTTCCCCCTAGATAAAATTTCTTCCAGTTTAATACAACTGTCAGGTGAGAAGAAACCTAAATAACATGACTAACTCCATTGGTAAGCAACACACCTGCATTGCTGCAAGCAATGGTGGGATTTCCAGTGTGTGATTTCCTTTTCATTTGTTTGTTTATTGACACTACTATGTTAAACGTCAAATGGAATGGAAGTGTTTACTTGTAGGCATAATCTGCAGGTTTGCAGCTTTCTTTGCTTCCTTGGGTGAAGGGAAGGGATGGCCTTGCCACTTCTGAAAAATCTTAGTAACTTTTCTGGCTCTCAATGAACATACAAATCCAGATTTCTTATAGCCCGAGTCCCTACTACTTTGAATGTCTGTTGCTTCAAAGCTGGGCAGAGCATACAACTTGACTTTATACTGATTCTGGTTATTAATAAAATCACAGAACTGATGACAACATTTTTTACATATTAAAAGCACCAAACTAAGGCGATAACATGGTCTATCAGCCACCTCTCAATGCGCGAGAAAGGAAGGCATGCTGCTTCTTGGCAAGAATATGCCTTTTCATTTAATATGAAGAATCCTTTTTTTTAAATCAGTGAGTATCCTGACGAGAAGAAGAAAGGGTTAAGAAAGCAGCTCACCTCACTTATGTTCTTACTGCTGCCTTCCAAGACACGCTGTCCTTTTCTATGAAGGATCACAAGTGATTTGCAGCTGCTATTTTTCCTTTTTCCCAGTAGTAACAATGGGTTTACAAGTGTGTGTACAAATTGCATGGATTTCTAAGTGTGTTTTTATCTGTAGGGTCCCTGAGACTTGACCTGTTGTCTAAACATACTAGTATTTATTGGACTTATGAGATAAACATCATCATATGGCCTGTTTGCGCTGCAAGAGAGCAACTGCAAAGGTCTGAAGCCACAGGCCATTACCTGGGAGTAGAAAAGACTTGGGCTTTGTGGCTGCCTATGACTTTTACATATTTACCTGCAAGCTGCTTCCTACATTTATACCTAACTCTGCTGTCTTCATGAAGAGCAGTTCTAAAGGCTAATATTAGTGATAATAACATTTGTATTTCACTTAAGACAAAAATGTGATTTATAGTTTCTGTAAAAAGTAGCATTTTAGTAAAAGCTACTCCCTGGACAAAGACACGTGGACTTTGAGTGTGAAATTAATGGTTTTGGAAGGTACCACTGTCAGACAGTTCCTTTGGACCTGAAGAGCAGTGTTAATGTAATTTACAGCTTGTTTTGCAACATTAATAGCTAATCTACATTAGCTAGACAGTTGCTCTTTCGTACTTGGTGAATAGTTTGAATACTTCAAACTATTTTCCAAGTACATATGTAGTCAATTTTTGTATGATGGAAAAATCTCCTTACCTCAGAGCTGAAGTATTAATTTAGTAAAATGTGATGGATTTTTATGTGTATACATTATAAACCTTAGAAAACTGTCTAATTCTTAATCAGTGCTTTACTAGCATTTTTTTGTTAAAGATTAATATTGTAACATTTTTCAGCATGAGGAATACAGATAACTAGAATTACTTCAGTGTTAAGATGGAAAAATAACTCAGTCAATGCAAGAATGAGTGAGGTATAGTAAATTAAATTGTATCTAGAGTATCTAAATTGCACACTAGAGTATCTAGGTGTATCTAGAGTAATTCATTATATAAGATACTATGGTTGTAGAGAATAGCATAGAAAACTTGTTTTGTCCATAAACTGTGTGCCACATAGCACAGTGCAGTATAATTCTGTGGTAAAGTATATTTTACCTTTAATGAAATAGGCTGTTGGATAATAAGTGGAGAACTGCCTAATGACACTGTGTATGACTCTCTTTCAGGCACCTTTTTGGGCATACATCCTGGGTGCATTAGGACTTTTTATCTACCAGTCTCTGGATGCCATTGATGGGAAGCAAGCCAGAAGAACAAACAGTAGCTCTCCCCTAGGAGAGCTCTTTGATCATGGCTGCGACTCTATTTCCACAGGTAGCCTTAACTTACTGTTACCCATCCTAGCTTTAAGACAAGTTGCGTGTTGTCAAGAGGAGCTACTGAATCAGGGCACAGTTGAGGTTGGAAGGGTCCTCTGGAAATGCTGCTTTGTTCCCTTCTGTTAGGGTAGCTCCACTGTCTCCTGGTCACTGCAGCCTGGCCTGCCCCAACCTTCATTTGTGACCAGTGTTCGAATATTTGAACAGTAGCTTTGGCAGGTGCTGGGACATGTGCACTTTGTTTTTACTTGTAGGTGAAGAAATACAAAGTTCTCTAAATGAGCTCAACTGTGAACAGAAAAGACCAGGAATCTCTGGGCAGGCTATGACCCTCTGTAGCACGTGTTCTGCAGCAGGGCACAGGCAATGCTAGTAAAGGATTCAAGTACCTAAAATGCTATTCCTAACATGCTATTCCTGCATGAAGTAAAGAGTTCACCTTAGAAGCCAGGTGACACAGAAAATCAGCTTGTTAATAGGATAGGCTGTTAGAAGGATAGTTTATTTATGTTCCTTAGGAGAACAGTTAAATATACATATTTATATATTTAGAGCTCCTAAAAAGCAGGCCTCCATCAGTTTTACTTTCCCGTACTCAGCTGCTGTCCCGGTAGCAATACTTCTGCTCCTATTATAGCTTAACGGCTACATTTGTCCTGGGAGTTGCAGTGTCCTTTGCATCTGCAGTTCCTGGAGCACTGCTAACCAGCAGCATCTAGGAAAGCTGAGCTGGGTCCACAGGCAGCAAAGAGCAAGTGGTCCCAGGGTCAGGGGAAAAGGGAAAGACTTGAAGCTGGGGCCCTCACTTGGAAGGAGTCTAGTGTTTGGTGTCTCATGCTAGGACTGTATCTGGTGTTAGCTACTGAATAAAACAGCAGGAATGTAATTACTTTGTTACAGTGATTGCAAATGCCTTGTATTTTTATTTCTTTTAGCTGCAGGCAAAGAGGCTTTTTGACTAACATGTTCATTTTTACTTTTCAGTTTTTGTTGTCCTGGGATCCTGCATAGCGATCAGACTAGGAACAAATCCTGACTGGTTGTTTTTCTGTTGTTTTGTGGGACTGTTCATGTTCTATTCTGCTCACTGGCAGACATATGTCTCAGGCATGTTAAGGTTTGGAAAGTAAGTAGGTATCTTTAGAACTACAAGTGACTTAATCTTGGAGACTGCTTCAGTTTCCTTTCTTCCTGTTTTTTCCTGCTCTCTTCTCCTCCCCATCTTTCCCTGCCCCAGCAGACTTCTGTCTTATCTTAATAAAGACACTGCATTTTACTCGCTAGAGGACTTGTGCTTTTACAGCTGATTTTAGCTACATATGCTTAATTTGCACATCTTAAGACTTTTTTTTTTTGTCTGCAGAATCACTTGCAGAACTACACAAGCAGTATGCAGGCTTGGACTGGAGCTCTTGCCCTCAGGGACTGTAAACAAGTGCCCTGTAACAACAGGGCAAGCATCTACTCTATCTCCCTTCACAGTCTCCCAGCCACCAGTTTCAGGCAAGGAGAATCTGAACCACATACATTTTTAAGAGAAATTCACCTGATAATGAATTTCTCTTCCATTACCATGTCCAGCCTTTCTTTGAACAAACTTTTTATCTATCATATCCTTTGGCAAGGAATTGCACAAAGCCGTGCCTAATACATGTTCAATTCCTGTATTCCTGAAGGTTTGTTTTTATTATTATTTAATCTAGCTCATGTTACCTTTGATATCCTTAAGGTTTTATGTTAGGTGATAGTTATATTGATCCCTGTGATGCCATTCATGACTTGCTCTTCCCAAATTGTAGTGGGAGGAGGCCTTGACATTTTTGTGGAATAGGATGGGGAATGCTGAACCCTCACACAGCTCTGGTGGTGCCTGGCCATGGTCTTATACTGCATTTAAACAACAAGCTGCACTTCAGTAATGATTTCTGAAAACAGAAAGAATATCTTCTTGAGAGATTTACAGATGAGTGGGGAGAGCTCTGTGACTTTCTAGGGAATAAATATATTCCATGTGTTCCATGTTTGCCTTTGAAATTAAATAGACACAACTTTTCAGGTTGTTTCAACAACAAAACAGGTCTTTTTTCAAGACTTGCACATCTGAGCTTTTTTTTTTTTTTTGCTTCGTTGGCTTCAGGAATGTCTTCTAAGCTATTCTTTTTTATTAAGCATAGAGAGAACCGTCTAAATGAAGTCAATAGTTTACTGCTCTATGGATGTCTAACTTGGATGAAAGGTTTCAATGATGGTGTCCATCAACCAGCATCTCTGACTTCTAGAAGTCAAATGATGAGTGAGAGTCCTAGCAAGGACTGGAACATTTGGGTACTGTTGACTTGTGCTGGATTAGTAAAGAGTACAAAAGATGGACTTTGGTGCCACCAACTGTCTGAGGTTCTGTGGAAAGCTGAAATTATAAATTTTGGTACGTTTGCACAACATGTTTATTGTGCAGCAGTGGCTGAGCTACTGTAAAATGTTATCCCTGCTACGGAGGGAAAACCTACTCCGAGCAGCATGGTCCCCTTTTCTATGTGCATGGACTCTTATTTGACTTGGATTCAACTCATTAAATAAGAAATAAAAGTTTAAACTAAGCTAGTAAGCTGAGTTGGCTTACCGTGCACTACTGGTACTTATGTGATGGTGAGTGAGGAGAAAAGCAGAAGGAGAGAGAATTTCCCATTCCAGTGGCTTTGAGTGATAAAGACCAACAAGTCATACTGTCTAGATGCTGCTTAAATATTGGCTTTTCTAAGACTGAGTTAGAAGCAGGTGATAAAAGGTAGTATATTTTTATCAGTTTCTCAGATGAAAAAAAAAATGATGCCCTCATTAAATGTGGGCATCAAATTAAATAACAAAGAGTTGCTTCCTGACTCTCCTTAAAACTAGTTTCCTTTGCAAAGTTTGTTGTGACAACAGTTGGTGTAACAGTGGTTATAATATGTTAAAAGAGCAAATCTTTCTGTTTAAGGAAATACTGTATTTTAAATTTCATGGTTAGATCACAACTCCAGTACAAAGACCTCTTGCAGAATCTCTAGTAGTGTAAACAGCACCTTAGATGTTGCGCTTTTCTGCGCTTGACTGAAAATGTCAATTCTTTGTCCAGAGTAGAAGTATCTACGTATTTGGGTCTTCCCACACTAAAACATTTCAGTAATCAAAATCATTGAGACAGAGTGAGACTACCACGTCTGAGTGCAAAAGCAAAAAAGTCCAGACCCTAGACTTCAAAGGGTGTCCAAGGCCACCTGTGTGGGTTAAGATTTTTATGGAAACATATCAGTTATATGCCATAGGAGATAGAGGACAAATGCTTGGCTATTCACTGACTCAATCTTCAAAATATTATCTCCATGTTAATGTGGCTTAAAAATCCTTTCTGTCCTAACTTGCTGTTCAGGGATCACGCTGTTACATGATATGCTATTAATGGAAAGGTTTGATTACATTTACTATGAATTTAATTTTCTAATTTTGATTTGATAATTACACAGCACCAAGTTTCTAAATTTGTTTAAAATTATCAAATAGTTAACAAGGTATTAAATCTTTTTTTTTTTTCTCACATATTAACTTTATATGTAGCTGGCTGTATATAATGCCATGGGTGTAATCTTAAATGTTAACTAACTTAAATGTTAACTTATGTGCTTCCCTATAGACTGTCTTCTTTAGTCATGAAAAATCATATTCCATATGCATCCTGTGACTTGGGGACATAACTTAAAAGTAACTGTTATTTTTTAATTCCCTGCAGAAAATACTTTTCCTTGAACTAGATCCTTTTTTTTTTTTCCCCCTCCATTTTTCCCTTCCTAGAGTTGATGTAACTGAGGTTCAGCTAGCTATAACAATGCTCCTTTTAATATCTGCCTGTGGAGGACCAGCAGTATGGGACTATGAGGTAAGAGAATTCAGCTCCTCAGCTCCTGTGTTTAGAGTTCCTATGGCATCTGAAGCTGTCCCGTGCAAGTATCATCAATGCTTACTAGTTACCTAATCTGCTATAGCTTACTGAGCAAATAGGGACTGTAGGTCATATTTATATTGTAGTTACCTTTGATAAAATGCCGTGACTTCCTATGCATGAATGTAGAGCTGTGTAGAGGAAAAAAGACCCCATCTGCCATATACAAACTTCTGATGTGCAACTAATTTTCTGATCATGCTTAACTCCTAACAAATAATTTCTGGGGATTTTCCCCCTTTGTATGCTTTATTGTAAGACACACATCTCTGCTCAATTAAATGATTTCTTAGGGGATGCTTTATTTTAAAATGTAAGGATTAAAAGCTTTAAAGAAACAAAGGGATAAAGTTAGGACTTTAGTTTGAGAGGGAGGTAAAAGAAATGATATTTACATGTCAGTTGAGATATTAGTGGATTTTTTAACTTATGAGTACACTGATTCTAGCCTTCTGGTTTCTAGACATTTTAAAATATATAAATATCTATATTTAAATAAATATTTTCTGTTCAAAAGCATTTCCCTATCTCCTATTCTGATTTTTAAAGACACACTTCAGTGGAAGGATTCAAAAGTATATTAAACTAATGTCATGATCAATGTCATGATCCTTTCTAGTCTATTAACTCAGAAATGTTTAGTTCTATTTCTTCACAGGACATGAACCAGATGAAACCATTCTGTGGTACTGACAACTACTGCAAATTGATTTAAATATAAATCATCAATAATTCAAACTAATTCACTAGTTTATTTGACAATTGGGGCATGTTTATCTAAACTTTTCTTTCTTTTCCTCATGTCAGAAAACTCTTCTGTTGTTTTTCAACTGCTTATTTTCAAGTTGGAAAACAAAGTCAGATTCATTTGGCTTTAAACCCTAATGAATTGTGATTGGGGTTTTGTTTTTGTTTCTGTCATCATTAAAATCTGTGGTAGTTATGCTGTATCTCAAAACAATCTATATTCAAAAGCTTGCAGTCAGTGATTTCAATTGCTACTTCTGTTTGTTTTGTTTTCTTTAATTTCTGCTGCCTTTGGAAGTTTCTTGAAACTGCAATTGATTCTCAAAGGTAATTGTTTAATTACAGTTTCTGTCTAGATACTATTCTAAATGTGAAGATACAGCATACAAAGAGTACGTGCCAAAGCACAAAGCAGGCAGATGGTGTTTGCGTTTCCTGTGGGTCTGTATTGTGTAACACAGTGAAGTGTCCTTCTCTCCCTCCCATSCCTTGGTTATGCAGCAGTTTGTGTCAAGCTTTTGCTATGTAGTAACAAGAATTTTTCAAAAATACTGTGAGGACAAATACAGTAAATTCTGAGTTTCAAGACCAGAACTTGAATACTCAAAAGGGGAGTTTAAGCGTTACAAAAGAAATCCCTCATCTCCTTAGTAGGGAAACTAATTCCTGCACAGTCCTCCAGAGCTTGTTTCCAAGCAGTCAGATAAAACAATTATTTAGCATGTATTGGTAGCTTTTTAATTGCTCTTTAAAAATGCTCTGATCCTTTCCTTTTAACCTTTCTCTTGCTTTTCTTGCTAAGGTCCCTATGATAGGAATAGAACTGAAATTCTTGGTGGTTTTTGGAATACTGTCTGGAACAGCAGTTTCTTGTTTCAATTACTTCCGTGTTATTTTTGGTGGTGGAGTTGGAAAGAATGGATCTACGATAGCCGTAAGTTGCTTTAAAAATCTGATTGGGCTTTGAATAATTCGTTGTTAGCAAAAAATGTGGCATTCAGGATTACTCTAAAGGTTTGAACATTTAGCATGCTCGCATACAAATTGCACACCTCCGTGCTGTTCATTATATTCATTATGGACTGTTGACTGCCCAAAGCAGAGGTTTAATTACTTGTCTTCTCTGCACCTATTACTAGGTATCTGTTGTCACAGGAGCAAGCAACAAATGTTTTTATAAAGCTGGATGTCACTCTAAAGTACATGAATAGTATTCACCCTACTGCTGCTAAGAAGAACTTACCCTGGCTTTTCAGCAATTCTAATTGTTTTTATTGAGTTGGATTTGCAGTAAGTGTAAAATCTAGACAATGTGGTGTCATTCAAGCTTAAGAATAATCTATTGTCCCTTTGTATTTCAGGGAACAAGTGTTCTTTCACCAGGCCTAAATATTGGACTGCTTATTACACTGGCTATTATGATCTATAAAAAATCTACAACACAGCTGTTCGAAAAGCATCCTTGCCTGTATGTTTTGACATTTGGATTTGTGAATGCTAAAATCTCACAGAAGTTAGTGGTAAGGAATCTTGTTTTGGTTTTAAACTTCTTAATTAAGAATTACATAATGTTTAAGATTTGCTTGCTTACATCACTGGGTGCTGTGCAAGTTCTCCCATGCTGCTCTGCTGTTGGGTTAACAGTTTCATAACAACCCCACAAAATCTGTAAGGGAATAGCATTCACTTCGAGTAATACCCAGCATAGTCTTAACCTTCAGAAACAGCATGGTAAAAATAAGGATGGGGAAACTCTTCCAAATAGCTAAAATACACTGGGATAACTGTAACTTCCCACTTGACTATTACTGTGTAATATGCACAATTGAACAATTTAAACAGAAGTTCCACAACACCAACAGCAGCAAAGCTGAAGCTGATCCACTTGCACATCCACTCATARTGGATGTGCATTGGGAAGGGAGAAGAGATGTGGTGGCAGACTTGTTGAGGTGCTCTTCATTTGAAGCTTCTGGAATGCAAATAGCAGCAGTAAATACAGCAGCTTTTAAACATGAAGTCTCTGTGAGAAGCTCAGATGCCTTTAAGAGACTCTCAGGGTTTGGCAGCTCAAATAGTTGGTATCAGCTGGTTCAAGTGTTGCATTTTGAATGACATGGGAAGACAGGTGATTTAGCCCTTCAGCAAGAATATCCAGGGAATAGTGGGCTCTAAAGCTCTTGTCATACCTTTAGTCTGACTGCTCCTACTGGGCCCTGGGCAACAGACATCATTTATGCCCCTTCCCCACTTTGATTTTTTTTTAGTAAGGTGATGGTTTTCTGGTAGTTATAGTTATGATAAAGTAGTGGTTTGGTTTGTTTAATAGGTGGCTCACATGACAAAAAGTGAAATCTCTCTTCAAGACACAGCATTTATTGGGCCAGGGCTTCTGTTTTTGGACCAGTACTTCAACAGTTTTGTTGATGAATATATTGTTCTGTGGATGGCATTGGTAAGCRTTTTGTTTTATATTTGTCTGTTCGTGTGTAACGTACTTAAAGGAATGAATCTATCCTTATTCTGTTCCACTGTTCAGACTTCCTCCAATTTCAGCGGTCACTGGAGATGGAGTGCTAGGATACCACATAAACTTAGGCTTTGGGAACTGACTGGCTTTCCTTCCTTGCAACAAAGATGTGAAAGTTTACATTTTACTGATCTTTCTTATAATTATGTCTTAATTCAGATAGTTTCAAAATTATTGTACTAAATGTAGATCAAACTTTGCTTATTGGACATCAGTATTGCATATGTGTTTAAAACGTATTTATAGAAGATTGTTTGTTCCCAGGCAAAGGAGATCAGTCTATATAGAACTCCTAAAATGCCTATCAAGCTTGTCATGTTGGATAGATTCTGAGAAAAGTAGAGCTGAATTTATTAGTAGGGACTGTATTTTGAAAAGTRCTTCTGCTTTTAACTTGTTCTGTTTTGTTCTTTTTAAGTTCATATCCTTGTTTGATATGCTGAGATATGCCACTGGTGTATGCCTACAGATTGCTGCTCATCTTCATATACATGTCTTCAGAATTTCATCTCATCAAGCTCCTGAACAGGTTCAAAACCATAATGACTGATTATATAGATCAAAGAGAAGAGGAGAAGCAGTTAGGGGAATGCTGAATGAAGCAGCCTCTCTCTTTGGGAAGCCAGATTAAGCTTTTCAAGAAAACAGTTTGTGAGAGAGCTTACTGTGCTAGGTTATTACCAGGTGTGATAATTACTAAAGGCAAAGTCCTGCAGCTGATGTGATTAATACATCCTGGTTCAGAATTATTTCCCCTGTGTTCTAATACTACAGCTGTTACATAATATCATGAATGCCACGTTCAAACCTTGTCCACTCCTGCTGGGTACCTTTAGTTCCGTACTGCTCTTCTGGTGCACGTAGGCTGCAACCCAAAGTGCTGCCAGTCAAAGTTCTAAAAGGAGTTTCACATTTCCATAGGTCAAGTAACTAATGTCTTGCTAGCATTAGTTTTGAAGTGGTAGTCAGAGGTATTGCTAAATCCAAGCCTGGTAGAAGGAAGCATCTGTGAGGTAAAACTAATAGTTAATTCTGGTCCTGATGATTTTAGAAATATATGGATGTGGGAAATGCAGGTCAGGAAAATTCATCTATTTCCAAATACTATTTTGAATGCCTTCATTCATTCTCAAAGAGCATATGCTGCTGCTACTGCATACAAACGTAGCTTCCATTTTCTTTCCTGGCCAGTTTCTGGTTTTGCAGTCATCCTAACGTGTTTGCCTCACTGTATGACACCAATAGCTACAGTGTAGGTAGCTGAGTACTTTAAGGACGTTACCTTTACCTACCCTAACTTGTATGTGTTAAACTCCTCTAGYGAATGACTTAAGTTGCTTGATAAACTTACGTGACTGTGACTGTTTAACTGTGACAACACAACCCAGCCATGTTTGATTCCCTCTGAAGCCTATTTGTTAACACTGTGTTAAATTACAAGGCTAAACTAACTACAGTTGTACCTTATCCAAACAAAACTGGAAGGTATTAAGACCTGATGTGTAGAAACTGTGTAAAAGAATAAAAGTGAGGACCAGTATCAGCCCCTCTCCTTCTTTAAGACCAGAGCCATCAGATAACATAATGTGCCTAGATTATGGACTGTTACGGACTATAAGGTTCTCTGCTACTTGTTTCTGTTGTCATCAGAGGAAAGCGAAATTCAAGTAGCTTATTATTAAAGTAGCTTATTTGTACCAGCAAATTGTGAACTGCAAACAAACATGCCCTAAAAGTTTAAAATCCTCTAAAAAAGGGTATTAAATATGCTTCCTCTAAAAATCTGTTTAATGTATGTGTTCATTATTGCATCCACTTGCTGGTTTGTAGCTGAGATGTGAATTCATAAAACCCTTCTTGAACTGTGCAATAAAGAATACTRTAACTTTTTTATTTTTAAATACTATTTGAGCTGAATAGCTGCTGCATGGTAGTTCAAAACAAGAAACCTACGTGAGATGTTCAAGGAACATCAATATTGTGTTGTCTGCTAAATTTGGGGCCAAGGAGAGGGGAATAGCATTCAGAGGAACTATCTCCCTGCCATGTTCCTGCATGAGAAGGCYAGATGCATGTACAGGAGGACTAATTGTACCAGTCACTGCCCAAGGAATGGCCTTTCAGGTGATTATTACAGACAAAGAGTTCAGTTCTCCTTTCCCGGGGAGTCTCTCCTGTTCAAGTCTGGGAAAGACAGAGCATCTGCAAGTGGACTTTGCTGGGGTATAGGTTAAGAGAAGGGAAAATTAAGAAGCTGCCTAYATCTTGTCCTACTCTTAAAGTGAGGGGCTTGCCTTCCCAGAATGCTAGAGAAAGGGGGTCATGGAGCAGTATGTAGAAATAGTTTGAAAAATAGAGTTGAGGTATTCCGAGGGCAGGAAACTAATGCAGAGTCAGTCAAAAACAATAACTAGGCAATACTAAAATACCATCACAATAAAGATATGGCAGAATTGTTGATTGTACTTCATAGCATGACCTAATATCCCTAAAAGGCCAAAAGAGAGTATCACAATTATAAATTAGTGTAGTTATGTGATTACTCATYACATGTTCATGCTTTCTCAGACACTATTCTAGAAATTCACATTCTCAGCTTTTGTTCCTTCCCCGAGTCCTAACCATTCCATATTGGTTCCTTGCTCAACTTCCATTACATCCTAATAGTTGATTTTCTTCATGTAAGCTATCATTAATCTGTCTTTGTAAACTGGGGAACTGTTAAGTAGATGATTTCATTCTGAATGATAAATGCTGGTACATTATTGGGGAGAGAAGCTGGACGGACTACATTTGAAATACTTTAAGAAAACATCACATTTGTGGTGGGGAGGGTGTGTGTGGGGGCAGTTGTAGTGTATTGGAATCCCAACATTACAAATTTAGAGTACCGTCTCATATTCTAGTCTACATACAGGCTTTCTGTACAAACAGTTCTGTGCACACCAAATGTTAGCTGCCTACATTAGTAATGTAATAAGTGAAGCATTTCTCCTTAAAACCTAGGCCTTTCTAAATTGCTAGTCATTTGAAACTGCAAAAATAACTAGTCCATCTTAAGGGTTGAAATAGCATGKATCAAATATGAGCTATAGATTAATTCAGCAGAGGTCTGCAATAATTTTATACCCCAAAATGTGTTGTAGTTTTTAATTATACTTATTTAAACAAATGTCATATAAAGCCATGACACTCAACATGAATTCAAGAATCTTGCCTTCTTGGTAAGTTTAAGCAATTCCTAGTCTCCTACTGGTAATGAAAGAGTACAAGGCAGAGCTCAGCAAAAGACTAAGGGTTTTCCTTAATTTACCGTAATACACAGTATTTAGCGCTCTCACATAAGATTTATCGTATTTTAATGAGCTTTTATAACTTCTGACAGGTCAGGCTAAGTGTTGAAACTATGAAAATCATAAAATAACTGTAGCTTTGGAAGAATACTTCCATTCAAACCACATACCTAAAAAGCCTAAAATTATGGTGCAAAATCTGTGTAATGTTTTTTTTATAGATTGTGTCTGTGGTTTGCAATTTGGCATTACAAGCAGTGAAACAATTCAAGCAGTCTTACGCTAATGAAAGTGATTATGAAGCAGTTAAAGATTAATTGTGCAGACAGTAAATGTTTTAGAAGTTGGTGGGTTTTCCTGTTTGATTTGTTTTTGCTTTTCAGAAAAAAAAAGTGAACTTACCTTATCAATATTCCATCTTACAGCATTATGAAACATGAGCTTAGAACAATCCATGAAACCTTTTAATGGGAACTTTACAACATTGACATCTTAACATACTTCTCTATGGCTAATGCCTATACTTGTATCATGTTACTTAGGTAAAAGTGGTTTCTCCATTGAGCCATCAGAATAACATGGACTGAAGAGACTTGCGAACAGTTGCCATCTCCTGCTGTTGCTGTTACAAGAAAAGGAGATAATACTGAACAAATGCCAAAYCCAACCTGATTCCCTGAGCTAATTAAATGAATACCAAATGACATTTTTATAGATGTTCTATTTTTGCATTTAGCTGAGTCTTTATATATACTTTATATACTTACCGTGTCCATCATGATCTTCTTCTGCAACATAGCCATTTCTTTGCGAAGCTCACTTTGCGCACCAGCCAGAAGATTTTCATTGTTCTTCTCCAGCTCTTCCATGCTCTGAAGTTATGGATAAATTTAACATTTAGACATCGAGGAGAAACAATTAAAAAAACAAAGCCCCAAACTATCCTTTATTCAAACTAGAATTCCATTTTTATAGCAGTACAAAAAMCAAAAAGATAACTCTTCCTTTTACACACTACTTCTTGAATGAGCTAAGGTAAAACTCACTGGTTATCTTTACTTTCATACATAAGGTTAYACCTGACTTTATGTGTTTATATGTTTAGCCATCTTTTTCTTGGCTCATATTTAAAGTAAACCTTATTTGAGGTTTGATTTCTAAATTTTGATTTTCGCTGAGGAGAAATCACAGCAATACTTGAACTTCATTTTGATTTTGCGTCTTTGATGACAATATTGTGAAGTGATTATTTTCACGTCTGTCTAACATGCTCTGTAAACTTCAGCTATTTAAATGAAGAATTGCTCTACTTCTAATTACTTTTCAAAGCTGCTGGACTTGAGGGAAAAAAAAAGTCTTCATAGCTAATTGAAATTTCATACAAAAAGAAGAGGGGAGGGGGAAATGATTTGAATAGATATTAAAGTTTTTTTTAGAAACTAGAACCTCTTCTTCCTCTGCACTCCCTATAAAAACACATCTGTAATCATTTTTCTCTCAGTCTAGATTTCTTATAACTCAATAGTGTGTGGGCCTTAGGCTTTTAGTTTTTAAATACACATTGTATCTTGGTTAAGAGGAAACAAAATTTTCAGATGTCGTCAGGGATACTTACCCCATATTCAAAGATCTTCATTTACTGAAAGGGTAGATTAGAATGTATGTATTTTAAAGTTATCAACTACCTCATACTTAGTGGGCCAGTAATGCTTAACTGTGAAGCACAGGCTTCACAGTTATATAACATGTTCTGTATGCACCATTCGAAAAAAAMCCCAACTATTTGTAGTGAGTGCCAGCAAAACCAGGAACTATGCATGAAGCAACAGGAAAGCCAAACAGGATCAATTATACAGCCACCCAGCTAGACAGACAGTCACCCTATTTTCATCATAAACAGTTACTTCTTACTTTCTGTTGTCATCTTAGTGAATGTTTACTTTTAGGTTAATGAAAGGAAGATCTTTTCTAATCAGTATTTCGTATGAAGAAAAGGGAACCATAGAGGGGCATTAGGGGCATGTCCCTTGCTGCAAGAAGCAGCAATAGCTAGAAAGATTAATGAAAGATGACTTTGCTTTGGTATCTAATTCTCATTACGGGGGATGCCACTGTAGCAGTCACAAACACAAAATTATACTTTAAAATTAAGTTTTCTGATAGATTTTCAATATAGATTTTCAGTTCTCACTTTAAACATCAGTTTTCTTAACAAAAAAATAAGAGACAAGACAGCATCTTGTTTATTTGATTAATGGATAACCTTTAAACTGGCACAAAACTGGGTTCTAGTTAGAATGTATACTCTGAGGGCTAAGGTTAAATATTCAAAAGAGGTGAGTCTAGCAGATCCCCACGGGAACCCACTCAACCCTATCCTTTAAGTAGGGGCAAAGTGTATGCAGCTCTGGAGAGAACAAATCACAAAGAACATAACATGAAGGTTCATGGAAGTCTGATATTTTTCCCAAATCAGGGAAAGGCTGAATTAATACAGCTTTAATAATTGATAGGAAGAAAGATCATCTGCCTCCTAGGAAGAATGTGCTATACCTTTATGAACTGCTCATAGAGCTGCTTAATGGTCTTCAGTCTCTGACTTTGCACTACTCTCGCCTGTTGAAAAAGTTTTTGTTGCTGACGAAACATATTCTGAAAGAGAAGCAAAAAAACGTATTAGTTGGCCAAAATAATTGGCCAGCAACACTGATGTCATCTGTGAGAATGATAATTGTGCCTTGTGTGGATTGACACGGAAGCCCGTGTCTGTAATCTTGCTGTCTGCTGGGGTGTCTTACAGATACAAGGGGAATGGCAGATGAAGCAGCATTGCAGGGAGCTGTCTGCTCTTTTCTTGTACTGGGATTTGCTTCTACTTTGCTAGCTGCAAGAATGCTTTTGTGTGCCTGGGCTAATAATGGTGTAGTTAGTACAAATACTGGTGTAGTACAATAAAGGACTACAGTCTTCACCTCTCCCCTCTGCCATATATTCCAAAACTTAAATATTTATGGTTTGGAAATCACCAAACGTGACATGTCACCAAACTGAGTGAATTTTGAAGAGGTCTGTACTACATAAAATACTTCTGTATTTCTGCACTCTTGGTGTCTGAGCAGCACTCTTCTCTACAGGTGTGTACAGTGTAAAATACACATTACATTGCAAACTCACTGCCAGCTTTTCTTCCTGTTCTTCTGCTTTCTGCACATCTATATCCCATTGCTGAAATAAAGTCAAGAACTGCTGGGAATACTCATGATTGAGCTTSTGCCTATAAACACAGCAGTAAGTATTATAAACACAATGAAGAATGAGGAGAGAAACTAAAAGTCTACATAATATATTCTACATGAAACAGAATGTATCATATTCTTACATATTTTTTTCCTATCCTAATAAAGGAGGTGGCATAAGTAATGCAAAATGATATTTTTGTCTAGCCCTAACTGAATGCTAACTGAATGCTCTATGTTTTGAAAAGCTGAACCCACATATATACAGACATACAAGTAAGATATACTTTTATCTAAGACCACGTTAAAAACTATCTTACACTCTGACACAAAAGGAATGTTTAAAAACCATGAGTGTTACCTTTGCTCTTGCTGTGTTTTCCAAACATGTTCAATTTTCTGGTTACTGGTTTTGAGCGAGGCTTTAGTATACATTTCTAATCTTTTCCTTTTAGCTAGGAGAGCCTTGTTAATGTCAGCTGGATTAAGGCAAAGAATATTTACAAGTTATGTAAAGCAAGACACATGTGGTTTATTGAAGATGTAGATGCCCTTTTCTTTGAGAAAGCGTTATGAGGTGCACTGCAATGGCAAAAAGCCAGGGTGTTCGTGCTCCTGGGTGCTGCTTTAAGGGTTTCTCTTTGCCTGTTCTGGGCACTGGTTTCAGTGCTGCTTTCCTGAGTCTCCAAAGACCTAAGGCTCCTGGCACTGCCAGAGCTCCTTGCCTGGTCCCACTAAACACCTGCCTTGGATCCCACCTCTCCCAGGGGCCAGACCAGGACAGCCCCACCATGACTTGACTCCGCATACACTTCTTTGGCTTTGGGCACAATGGCTGTGGGTACCACGTCGTGTTTGCACAACTGTCCTGCAGTCTGAATCCAGGGTAGCTCCAGTTCTTCCATTATATATGTATTTTAATTAGCTCCTTATATGCTGAATCTTACGCTCTCCTACTGATTATTGTGATGCCTGAGCTTCATCTCTACAGTCAGCACGCATGCATACTTAAAACATGAGCAGCATTATCCAATCTGTTCACGCTCCACACCAATACCACTTAGTGCAGTATCCCGTAAAGACAGCACATGGGAATTGCTCAGTATTTAATTGCTTTTTAGTCACAGCTAGAGATGTCCTGTGCAAACCTACACAAAGGCATCCTGCTCCTTTTTTTCCTCTAGTGCACAACATTTTAGCTACACTATCAAAATCAGTAATTTTGTTGTAACTGCAGTACCAGCTCATTATTTCTAGTCTTTGATTCAATTCAGTTATGCAAATACTTTTTAAATGTATTTTTCTTAAGAAAAAGCATTAATCCCAGTGTTTTGTAGAAATATTCAAATTGCTTAAAATTTTGGAAATAAAGGAATTATGTGATTACTATCACTGCCAATATAGTAAATGAATGAATAAATGACAAACTCTCATACTCCAGAGAGCATCTGAGTACTTTTCTGAAAGTATTCAAATTAGTGTCAATTAATCAGACTGTCTTGTTTTAACTTACATTTGGAAATTTAATAGCTTAGCTCAGGTTTAATACATAAAGCAATCGCTTTTCTTTTTTGCTCTAACTATCAGGAAACATACACGAAACCTGACTCTGTAATTTGTTGAAGCATCTGCCACTGTTAATGCCAACATTATATTTGAGCAGGCACATCTTTTCTCCACCTAATTAAATTTTCTTCCCATCTTTGAGTCTTCAGTAAAAAGCAATTTTAACTTTTTACTATTCAGAATTGAAATCCTTTCATCTAGACTGCTAGGTCTACAAGATCATTCTAATATCTGCCTTCACAGCAGTCTCAATTCATAGATTAAGGAATTCCTTGCAAGCTCCTCTTTCACCTTCAGATCTACAGGTAAAAAATGCCTGGGAATTGTATTTACTCACATATACAACAAACTTATCAACAAGCTATTAAGGARGTAACGCTCATATTCAGACATTTTCCCTTCCCTCCACTGCTTTTTACTTATTTGTTACGTTATCTCCAAATGTACACTATAAATCCTTTACCAGTGAAATGTGCTGTTTTTCTCTAAGCTGTCAGCTATCTAAAATTCAAGTGGATACTTGAAGTAAAGCTGCTGAGGATTACACCTAATGAAGACTACATTAAAGGAATGCACACAAACCGTATGGTGAAGCACATAAGTCTCTCCACAATCCTCACCAGGTGACAACAATCACTTAGCCTCATTCTTTACTAGAAAACTTGCAGCATTCTTCCTGACTGCTGAAATTCCCTTGTGTTCTCAGTCCCTTTTCTCTACCTTTCTGAAGGCAAAGCACTGCTGACTAGCCCATTCTGTACCATAACTACCTTCTCAGCCATTCTTTGTCTAAGATTTGTCTAAGATTTGTCTAATGACTACAGCCATTCTTTATCTAAGATTTTCAAGTATTTGTTCTACTTGGCCACTTCTCTCTGCATTTACATGCCTGTACTTCTCACTCTATTCCTGCAATCACCAGTCACTTCCACCTACCTCACTGTAACAAAAAAATTGAGAACAGCTTTCTAACTCATATTGTATTCCTTCTGTTAAATATACTCACTGCCTTTTAAACCTTAAGAATCTTTATATATATGCATACACATCCAAATATGTAAAATTTCAAATAGGATTGATCATCAAAAGCATACATGCATCTGTCCTTTTCTCCATTTGTAATTCATCTACACTGATACATCTGCCTTTACATTAAATTACTCCATTCTCTCYCTTTTCTGCTGCTCTATTTAGATATATTATTACTTCATTTTTCTTTTTTTTCTGAGACATGGCTGTAGCCAATAATAACTGGTCATTTTATCTAAACCTTAAAAGCTATTTTTGTGAAAAAGAATTTTTGCCAACTCTGCAAATTAATTATGAACTATAATTTATTGCAGTGTACATCTACTTACCTCCAAATCGTTCCAACATATTCTGTACTTCACCCCTACAAAATATTATTTAAAAAATTATTTGCCTGTTTTCTGCACAAATTACTTGAGAATATGACTTGATGTGTATTTAAAACTGTGTCTACTTTTTTTACATGCCTATTACCTACAAGCAATGATAGCACTGCTGCTGCTGTACAAAAAAAAAAAAAAACCACACATTTACTCCTCTCCTCCTGCTGCAAGAGTTCTCTCTTTTTAGACTAATTGAATTCCTTTTTTTTTTTTTTTTTTTTTTTTTTTTTTTTTTTTTTTTTTTTTTTTTTTTTTTTTTTAATTTACGGAAGTCTATTAACTTCTTCCCTATGAAAGAGGCTATTAAGACTATGGATAGTCCCAATGAGGAAGGATGGTAAATATAATCATTTGACATACAGAAAACAAAACACAAAATGAAACTGGAACATCAAATGGAAAGAAGTCTACCAAGCTTAGCATGACAGACACAATAAGAAAAATCCAAGCCAAAAAAAAAAAATGCTGTTTCTACAGCAATTTTAAGATGAATATACTGYTGTATATTGATTGTATATATTGATAGTATATTGATTCAACAATGTTGCATCACCTAAACTTGTAAATAGCATCAAACAACAACAAGATCAGAGGTAAAAATTCAGTGAAACAACCCACTATTTAGAATAAAACTTAAAATCATCTTTTGAAAGAAAATCTGGAGAARTCTCACAAATACCTATTTAATTCACAGATGTGCAAAAGAGTCTGCAAAGAAGCGGCAGAATTAATTTGAAAGGTGGGCTTTTCTTTCGCAACTACAATGAATGTATTATTTGCTACCTTATTTTTTTCTTATTGATTAGAATGAAATGTTGAAAAAGAGAGGAAAACAAGCATACTAAATGTCTGAAATAGGTATTAATTTCATTTCTTTCATTTGGAAAAAATATTCTAAATCTTACCCCACGTCATCTGAAACCACATGAGGAGTCACCAAAGGTCTTTTCTTCCCATGTTTGTCCACCACCGTTGTTTCACCTTAATATAAATTTTAAAACAATGTACAAAAAAAGCTCACATTCCACAGAGAGTCATTTGAATTACTAGAAGTATAGGTACTTTTCTGTAACTCCATTGGGTCAGCGCTCAACTAATGGGCATGATCAAACATATACAGCCTCTAAAACTTTGAACCTGATACTGACAGATTTGGCGGTGGCCAGTGACAGGACAAGGAGTAATGGGTATAAGCTGAAACACAGGCAGTTCCATCTCCATGTGAGGAAGAACTTCTTTCCTGTGCGGGTGATAGAGCCCCAGAACARGCTGCCCAGAGAGGCTGTGGAGTCTCCTTCTCTGGAGAGCTTCCAAACCTGCCTGGATGCCGCCCTGTGCCCCGTGCTCTGGGTGTCCCTARTGGAACTGGGCGTTTGTGTTAGATGATCTCTAGAGGTCCCTTCCAACCTCAGCCATCCTGTTGTGATTTTGGGACAGATGTCTATGAGCTCTTCTGCAAGAACACATTTGAGCTGACAATACCCTGAGCTCCCCTAGGCTGGTCTCAATCAGTTGTATTTTCACAACACAAATACTCCAACCCACAGCATACCAATACTATGAAACATTTAAAAAAACCCCAAACCCACACCTAAAAAAATGAAAAAAATCTGTAATAATCTCCTTTAACTGTACTGAACGTTCTTTTGATCTTTAAAATGGCAAAACTAGATATATAGTTATGTTTTTTATCCAAAACCTAATTTCCTCAAATGTCAGACTTCATGACCAAAGGGAGAAAAATCATCCAAAACAAACCAGAATGTGTTGTAGAAATGTTTTGTCCAAAATATAGAATACAAATATAAATAGACATTTTGTTTGAAACAGTGTATGTTAGTATGCACAGATATAGAAATGGCAAACAATAATGTAGCAGAGGCAGCTTAGCTATCCTTAACATGAAATTATACTGACAGACCAAAAGAAACAAAAACCAACATTTAAGATACTTTACCCAATTGCTAATTCTACAACCCCTTTGTCCAAGAAGTTGCAGAACACACACTGTGATTCATACTGTGTCTAATATAAATCAGATACAGTTGTCTTTGCTTACGGACAGAACGTGCTGATTGGACCCATCAGATTTCTCAAAATTCAGCCAATAAAGTTTTATAAGCAAAGAGCAGAAAGCTTCAGTGCTCCATAGAAGTTAACAGAGCTTTTTTTTTTTTTTTTTTCCCCCTGCTCTGTCCTTTTCTCACAATATTAATGCAACTAAATGATAGAAGTACAGGACTGGAAAAAAAAACCTTTCAGAAGGTTTTTAAAAAAATGAAAAAAAATAAACAAATGTTATAAACTTTACATTTTTTTAAAAAAGATCTAGTTTATATAAACACCTTCTCTAATATCTTCTTCAGATCCACTCAGATCTTTTCTTTCGTCTTGAAAGTCATAGGCAGGTATGGCTTGATCTTCCTGTGCTGCTTTACCACCTTTTCCTTGATGCTTTCTTCCTGATGGTGCCATAATGAGATTTTCTTCCCACTAAAACAACATGCTGTGTTTGTTACACAACTTCTCCCACAATACTTTAACGAAAAACATGCTTTGATGCTTATAGTGACTTGTATACCCCTATAGCAGTGTGCACCGGAAAGATACTGAAGCAGCGGAACTGATTAACTCGTGAGGTAATCCACAGGACTGACCATCAGCTATGTTTTGAAGAACAGGTTAAAAATATCAGGACTAGTGGGAAACACCTGTTTTTGCAGGGAAGTGAAGTATATTATAAAACCTTTTAAAGTGCCTGCCAGCTATGCTTTCATACCATTTATTAAATATTGTGTCCTATTCAGTGCCGCTTTCCCATAAGACTAGGCTTATATTCTGTTCTACAAAACACAGGAATGATAAACCACAAAGAACAGGCGGATTCTACCCTCCATTCCATGCTAGGCAGAAACATGCACGTACAAGCAGTATTTAGTCAAGCTACTCAACCTTTACATTGCTTTTCTCAATTACTTTTTTTTTTTTAAGCTACTATGTCTCTGTCTCCACCATGATGCTAAGGAACACTGCTTTTTATTTTTGTTCCCTCTGATGCTTCTCTGTAGAGTTTGAAGCAACTATTTTAAAAACTTAGGTAAAAATTTATTTGGGAGAAAAAGAGATAATAAAAAAACCCTGAAGTTTCTCTTCAAGAAGGGACGCTTCCTTCTGACTGGAGGGATCAAAACCCCTCGCACTGAGTACTTTTCCCCGACAGAAACCCTCCTCCCCGTTTCTCCCGGCCCGGGACGACGCCCGCTACCAACACGAGCCTCACGCGCCGTTTTCGCCTCCAGCGCCTCAAACGCCGCGGGGCGGAGGCAGCGCCCGCCCTCCCAGGCGACRCGTCCCTTACCCCCGCCTTCCCCTCCTCCTCCTCCTTATTCCTCAGGCGGCCGCGACGGCGGGGAAGGAGCAGGGATGGAGGGAGGTCGAGCGACTCGCGCAGGCTCCGGCCGCGCGGGGAGGGCAGCGGCGGCGCCGCGGAAAAGGCGGGAAAGGGCCGGGCGCCTCATGGCGGCGAGGGGAGACTCGCCTCAGCGCGAGGCCTCCGCCATCCGCCRCCGCTTTAATCCTCGCGCGCTCAAAGACTCACCCGCTTTGGTGCAAACTGCTTCAAGGTGCAACAAACTGCCTGCACAATACACTGCTACACTGCACCGCGCCTGTGCAACAGCTTTAGATATGTTTTCACAGCATTAAGGCATCAAAAAAAAAAAAAAAAAAAAAGTTTTCCCCATCAATGCAAAACTTCTCTACTTAAAGCAAAGAGTGATGCTTTTGGGATGAAGTAAAACTTCAAGAACAAGAAGTTTCAACAGTGCATCCCCTCTTTAAAATTAGCAGCTTTTAAGGAGAACAGTCAGTTTACCACTTTTACAAAGAAAAAAAAAAAGAAAAAAGTAACTGCCACGTTCTAGCAATTGGCAATAAAACAGAACAGCAGTAGCAGGCCATTTTAAGTCATTACATCCTGGACAGCAGTTCACAGGCTTTTCCCACTAATGATTTGTTTTATCATATACTTCAAGTCCAAATATAAAATATACATAAACATCTTTCTAACAATATTTTAATTTTCAATGTTCTCATTAACCTCGACAAATTGAGATATTTTATGTGCAAATTTATGCTACATCCTTTGGCAATTATTGCTGTAGCTAAACTAACTACAATGAATCAACTGGCTTAAACCCAAACCAAACCCCAAGCCCTGCTTAAACATAAAAAGGAAATGAAGTGACATCTCAGCTACATGTGCATTCATTTGCACATATAATTTAGGCACAAAAACTAACACCTTAACACACTTTTTCCTATTTTCCTATTAACTAGAATGCAAAATATAACTTTAAAAAAACTCAGTCAAATTTGCCTCTACCTGTTCACATATTTGTTGAAGTATCTCACTTCCTGGTAGTCTAAACTACTGTAAATTTCAAGTACTTTCATAGCCCACATGATTCAGCATAATACATACAGGTTAGCATGAAATATTACCTCACTCTTAAAAAAAATGTAAGTTTTAAACCCTTCACGCATTAAATATTAAGAATTATTACCTCTGAAAGATTTTTAAGGAAAAATAAATGCTTTTTACAGAAAGATTTACAAATATTAATGGCCAAGTTTTTTTTTCTTTAGGAGAAACAGAACAGACAARAGCTTTTACCACATTTTAGTAAATTTCAAAAATTTCAAAGCAAACCAAGTATCTTACAATACATATGCACATATATTTTGTACATCTTCTGATTATAAAAATTAATGCATTTTGAATACTGCTAATACAATGAACTTCACATACACCACCAAAACATTTCTGCTTGGAACCATTCAGTATACTTTCCCACATAAAGACTTACTGTTACAAATTTTCAACAAAATTTAAAAACACTATAGAGTTCAGTATGTGAATATAAATATAGTCTTCTGAAGAGAAACAATCCTCCCATACACTGCTACATTAAAAKGTTATGTTACCCATTCATATGGAGAGGCACTTTGTTTATTTTCCAACGCTTGTAAAATACTACACCTTGATCAATCATTTGATTCCAACTCTCTCTCTCTGTAATCAAGTCAACAGATAATATCATTGTATTCTTTGGAATATAATGTATCAATTATTTTTAAAATAACCATCAATTGTCCTGTTACTATGTATTTTTAATTAGGATATATTTCTCCCAAATTCTATTTAAATACTACCAATAGAAGGATGAATTGTCACTGTGCTTAGAAGAATGTTAACATCATTCTAAGTCTAAATTACAAGTTACATAATTCTCTCTTTATTTTCCCATAGGGCTGGAATTTAAAAAAAAAAAAAAAAAAAAACAAGCAGCAACAACAGAATTTGCAAAATGTTTTGGAATGCAAGATCAAGGACCTGTTAGCTGATCCCAAACAACTCTGCCTTCCAACATTATTATATCTAGTTGGCAACACCCACTGCAATAAATGCAGCTACATTTCTTTTGGTAACTCTTTTTATAAAAAAGGATAACATGCCCATGAATTAATGTCTGTCAAGTAAAATCAGTTGAAAACCAGCAATGTACAGGTTTTCTCCTTTTTGTTTTTGTTCTGCTTTCTGTCACAGCTCGAGCAGCTTGCATGTCAGAGGACTGCAGATATAACACCTGTAGATACATGATTCTTTTTTCTTCATGTTAACTTCGTTAAATGTGAAACCATAAGTGTCGTGACATCAAGTGTCACAAAGACACTTATGAAGGAGATTTTAAATGCTTAWCACATCTTGAGGTAGACTGATCTTCAAAATAAAGCTCTTCTACACTTTGATTCGTTCATGACCAACTTCTTTTTGGATCCTTCTTCTTGGAAAAATCTTTCGTTTAAGTGCAATTAGCTGAGAAGAAGAAAAAGATTAGTTGTCTGTTAGGCCAGAAGTGCACAGCTGTTCTGGTTTTGCTCCTAGGAACTCCATAAAATCTGTACCATCTATGGTAATTAAATCAATACCATATTTTTTCCCCTGTCACTGCACAGGAAGAAGCTATTATTTAAATTCATCAATTAGGTACATACATTTCCACTCAACTTGTCAGTAATTAAAGCAAGAGAAGAAACTGAAAAACACCACATTTGATTATTTAAAACTCGGGTAGATAATATGAGGCCATGTTCGGTTACTGAAGATAAAGCTGGCATCTTAAAACAATGTATAAAAACCTAGCTGTGCTACTGAATTGCTTACTAGCTGTTTCCTAAATGCAGTTAGTAATGCAGAGGTTTTCAATATATACAGAAGCTAAAAATAAARAGAAAGATTCATGCACAAGTTATGGAGTAAAACAAAACAAAAAAGTTTAACAGCCAACCTTTCAAGAATTACACCCTCTTCATCAGACCACGGAAAGAGTTACTTAAGGCCCCAACCTGCAAAGAATTACCCACATGATTTGTTCCATTGACTGCCGCTAAGCTTAGCAGGAGAAATCATGTTCAAGAAAGTCATTTTATTTTTGCAAAACTGGAGTTATTTTCTTTGACCCTAATCCAAAATCTATCAAGCTCAACAGCAGTTCCTGTGATTACTTTGTATGAGATTAAGATCAGGTCCCTAAGCATCTTTTAAGGTATTTCTTGGCCAGCCTAGAATATGAGCATTACTTTAATTTTCTTCCTATTAACTTACTTTACACTTTTACTGACGTAACTTGGTAACTCAAAAATCAAAGCAACCTAATTAGTAATCTTATATCATCATTCTTTCTTTTATGGAAAAAAAAAAAAGAAAAAAAGAAAGAAAAAAAGTTATTCTTCAAAACCTATTCAAAATACACTTCACTTTATATGATCCTAAAGACAGAGCAAGAAATTATGTTATAGATTTGGCAAGATGATATATTTTTACCTGCTCAGCAAAAAATGAGATGACTGTAAATACAATAAGTGTTACTAGAACACAATGGGTCCAAAATTTGAGCTTGTCTCTGTATGCCCTCCTGCACAGAGATGGAAACAGAAAGACATTTTCATACATTATACACACAAAARCATAAACTTTAAAGAGTTTCCATTAAAGAGAAAAACACATTTAAATAGTTTACCTATTTAAGTAGTTTATTTCTGGTATGAAAAGCAAAATGCTTACTTGAGGTTTACAGACTGTTCTGCACATCTCAAAACCCTTCTTAGTCTCAATGTGCCTTGAAACTACCCTGACAGCCTTCTGTACCATTTTAGGGTGTTGTTTATATTGATTCTTAAACCAAAGCTTAACACTGTGCAATAATCAGAGCGTAAAACTCAACTGAAGCTAAAAATGAATTTCCACTAACATTTCAGCATTCAGTAGCCTATCCYGGTAGAAACCTGCTTTGACTACAAGAAAGTCAAAATAAAGTGTTCTTTTGAAGTTAACACAGAACAAATTCTTGGCAGATGTCTTCAGATGGGAGACAATGATACCCAACTGCCTCCTCCTTTAGCACAGGAGGTTAATACAGCTAACTATTAAAAAAAGTGGGATTTACAATCCCATTCCTCCTGCCTAAATTATGGCTTGTACCACTACAGTTCATGACCATTCCTGCCACCTACAATAATTTGTTCTATGCTTCCCCTCTAATATTTTCCCTTTCTTTACTAACAGTTGGTTCCCATAATTTGCTGGTCAGCAATGAAATTACCCTTCTACAGTCTTATCTCACTTTTACCACTATAACTGCCAATTGTTCACTTGTTCTCAAACTCTCCTTCCCCAATTTCTGAAATTAAAATATTATTTATAGTATGCTGATCCATTACAAGGTAAATGTACCGTAATTTCTCATGGTAAAGATGAAAAAAAGCATTCTCCATGCTAATTGTCCAGCTAATTTAAAGATAAGATGAGAAGTATTGAATTTACGATAAACAATTTCTTATGAAATAGGCTGGGGCTAATCAATGAAATTTTAATTACCTTAAAAGGAACAGAA